CACACACACACACACACACACCTCCTACACACATGAGAGAAGGGAGGGGATGAAGGGCGGTGTGATCCACTGCTTAGCCTTATAATTACTTCATTGCACCAGTTATCTCTGCTGCTGTAAACTCAGATGAGTAATTTGCACAGAAAATAAGTAGCATGCTGAACCTTCACCTGCAAAACAAAAGCAACGACTGTGGTACTACGTGTTACTAATTCATGTAATTCATGTTTTTTTAATTTCAGAATAATGAAACAAAGTGAATATAAAATACGACGTACTTGCTCTTTTCCTGACAAAGCACTTAGCCTACGTTCAGTGAGCTTAAAACATGGTGTGTAACCTAATCAGTCTCTCTTTTAATACGATAAAAGTAAGAGATCTGTCTTCTTTAATCTTCCTAGAGCACGTTGCCAAAATTTAATTAAATGAGAGCAACTATTGTCATATTATGGACTCATGTGGAGAAATCCATCTTTAAACAGGCAGATCAGGTGGCATGCTGGGTGGTTAAAAAACTATTCTGTGAATCTGAACTCAGCTGATAGTGACTCATTATATGGAAGTGCAGTTTAATGGAGGGTTACAGTCACTTTGGCAGAGCGTTTAGTGTAGGGTCTTAAGAAACTTAAATACAGTATGCAGCTAAAAAGCTATTTTATTAAATCCATATTTTTGAGGGCAAATAGCAAATCTTTATTTGAAAATGGAAATGGTTTGGATCAAACAATAAATTGGCTTCTAACCTTGAAATAGTTTAATGAAAATCATGAGTCAACCACGTGAGGAGAGTTCTTTGCCACACTGCAGTAGGCAGACCTTGAAAAAAATATATTCACTCCTCCAGATAACAACAGCTGCCATCAGCTGTCAGACAGTCAGTTGAAAGTCCTTGGTGCTTTTCGTCCAACCAACCAGGTACACCAAGATGAAGACCGCCACCAACATTTACATCTTCAATCTGGCTCTGGCTGACGCTCTCGCCACCAGCACCCTCCCCTTCCAGAGCGCCAAGTACCTGATGAGCACATGGCCCTTTGGGGAGCTGTTGTGTAAAGTCGTCATTGCCATCGACTATTACAACATGTTCACCAGCATCTTCACACTCACCATGATGAGCGTAGACCGCTACATTGCTGTTTGCCATCCGGTGAGGGCTCTGGACTTCCGCACCCCTGCCAAAGCCAAACTCATCAACGTCTGCATCTGGATCCTGTCCTCTGTCATTGGAGTCCCTGTGATGATCATGGCTGTTACCAAGGTGACAGAAAAAGGTGAGGGGCCTTTATTGTTGGAAATGTACTACCACTGTATAAAAACTTTGCTTCTTCTCACAAGCACCTACAATGGCAAGTGTTGATTTCAGGGAGTAATCATGCCGTAAAAAGAGAATGCATTTGAGCTGGGTTATTAACTTAAATTAGCTTCTCCACATGGCTCTGTGTTAAACTTCTAATTGCTTTATCTCCTCAGGAAACACTGCCTGCACACTCAGATTTCCCAAACCCGACTGGTACTGGGACACAGTGATGAAAATCTGTGTTTTCATCTTTGCCTTTGTGGTACCAGTCCTGGTCATCACCATCTGCTACGGTCTGATGATTCTGCGACTCAAGAGTGTCCGTCTGCTCTCTGGCTCCAAAGAGAAGGACAGGAACCTGCGGCGCATCACCCGCATGGTCCTTGTGGTCGTGACGGCCTTCATCATCTGCTGGACTCCCATCCACATCTTCATCATCGTCCGGACCATGGTGCATGTTGACAACAAGAACCCCCTGGTGATAGCCAGCTGGCACCTGTGCATTGCGCTGGGCTACACCAACAGCAGTCTCAACCCTGTGCTGTACGCCTTCTTGGACGAGAACTTCAAGAGATGCTTGAGGGATTTCTGCCTGCCCCGCCTGGAGCAGAACAGCGTTTACAGATCGCGCAATAGCACACGGGAGCCTGCGTCCATTTGCGCCCCTGCCACAACAGAGAGACCGCCAGCCTGACTAGGCATGGTTCAGTGGACGGGAAGAACGGCTCAAGATGACCTCCCGACTGAGGTCACACAGTTCTCCACCACGGGAATCTAAGTCTGCAGGTATACAGAAGGACTCTGACCTACCATCCACATAAATTATTGATAATCATCTAATGAAACTACTACTGTTTCCCAACAAGATTGTGCGACCGTGTCTGCCTGTGCATAAGGAAACTGATACAAATGTACATATACTCTTGGACAGCGTAAGATCCACAGATCCAAACACAGTCAGTGCAGTCAGATAGCATTTAGGCAGTATTATCTTTTTGCCTGTTCTGGCTCTATTTCAGCACAGTGAAAAATAAATATTAAGTTAAATTCCTGACTTCTTCACATATTAGGGGAACAGTACAGGACTCACAGCCATTTGTGCATATAGTCCCACAGTGATCGGCCAGGACATTCATCCTAAACACATAGACAAGGCCAGGAGGAGTCTTTTTATGGGTATACAGTGGCCAGTGTTAGGCATTACAGTGATTGGTTGAGTCAGTCACCTGACCTCAACGCCACAGATCATGTGTTTCACTTGATGGAGACCAGACTGACTGAGAAAATCCCTATAACAGCGAGAAGTAAAGAAGGCTGCACTACAGGCTCGGCCAAGCATCAATAGGGAAGATACTCCTGTCTGTCCATCACAGATGTCAGCCAATCTGCTAAAGCTAAATGCTACCTACGATGAAGTGCTGAGGTTGGAAACTGGACTTGCTTGATGTTCTTGAAGACCTTTGACCTCCCATCTGAGAAGCTTCTTCAGTTTTGGAGTCGCAGTTATTTAAGTCTCAGGATGAGAGATGAAACATCTTCAGGAACCTCAGGGAAGTCCAGCTGCCATCTTTAGCACTTCAGATATAACATGACCTGGATGACAGAGAATCTCCACACACCTGACTTTATTTAGGTTTATGCTAATTTCCTAGAGGCCAAATAGATAACTACTATTTGTGAGGGGAGGGAAAATGGTTGTAAACATATCACTGGTCACTCCCTTTTTAAGGTGGTTTGACAGACTTGTTATCAAACTGTTGCCTATTTATACATCCAACATTAACATCGTTTAAAGTTGCTTTTCTGGCAACCTGATGAATGTAAGTCAAACATTAATTCAGCTGCCTGCTGCTGCTGAATGGTATGAGAGCAGTGAGAGCGAACCAAAACAGTGACGCTGTGGGCCCAAAGACCAAAACAATAAGCTGAAAGATGCTATAATGCTGCATAGAATTGAGACAGATTATAAATCTTTGTAGGTTATCACTACAAAGGACTACTTCAACATTAATGTTGTTATATAAATATTTTCAAAGCAGCTTTAAGGCTAAATTTGTTTTAAGGCTTTCTGACTGTACATCTATGTCGACTGGTTATATTGTCACTCAGTCTCACTGAGGAAATGACAATCAGATAATATGAATGTTTTAGCTGCCTGAGATTTTATGTTCATTGTCTCTGTGATATTTAAATTAGAAGTTGTATCCAATTTCATGCTCATTCTTGTAATGGTAAGAGGGGAAATAATTACAAATGAAGACCACACACATAATTAAGAACAATTTTAAAGATGGTGAAGTTCTATGTAACTGCATGTTTCAGTGTCATCTTTTCCCACTTTTATTGGACAAACAGATCATGAAAGATGCTTGTCAAACACGCTTTACATAACATGAAAAGCAGCCACAATGGCACTTCCGCCATATATTCAACATGAACTTCAGAGTCCAGCTGACCTGCTGTGTGCACTCCTCTAGGGATAAGGCTGCTCTGTCTTTTTGCACAATGAAAATATGCTGACAGTACACCAAGAAGCTGAGGAGGGAAGAGTGGCACTGCTGTTCAAGTCATAGTAAGTTGACTGGATTGTCTCAAACTGGCACGGAGGCGAGTCAAACGCATTAGCAAGCAACAAGAAGTCTCCAATATATATTACAGCTAATGGACAGTTTTCCACTGGTGATTGCTGGACAGCTGCAGCAGGAGATTTGGGCAGTGAGAAGACTTTTTCTGCACATTTGAGAGAACAATCAACCCAATGCCTCTTATTTTGCCACTGCAACAATGTGGATTTGTTCAAAAAAGGCATCGATATACCAAGTGTAAAGATAGTATAGTTCTGTAGCTAAATTAAGTGATAATGTGATTTATTTTGTGCTGTCATGCTACTGTAACATAAAGCTTCACTTGTAACCAATTAGTAAAATCAAATGTTATTTAGCTACACTATATATTTACTCTAAGTGCTATAAATGTTGACAAAATTCTAAATAATCAAAAAAATTTAAAAAATATTCCTGCCTCCTCTCTGGAATGCTGCCATCACTATTAGAACAGCATTTCTATATGCTTTCCGCAGTGTGGCTGACATGTTCATTGGAATATGTACCTTAATGCTTCAGCTTTTTTTGGCAAAACATGAATTGTTTTATAGAGAAAAAGGCTTGATCTTTTTCAATTTTTTTGCATTTTATGTTTCAGTAGAAACTGCATACAAAATACCTTATTGTATTGATGAACAGACCCTGCTGTGGTAGTGGGTCACGTGACTCATGTAGCTTCAGATACAGTGGGATTTATCAGCAAATTACTGCTTTCAAACTAATTCTGTGTTGTTGCTGTAGGTAGCTCAGCTAATTTAGCTAGTTAGCTTGGCACCTAATCATTAAAGTAACCCAGTATTTGAGGGAGACGGTCAAAAAGGTTGTAAAATGTGTTTTGACATGTCGCTAACTTAAAATGTCACAAGTATAATTACTGCTTTTGGTTTCAGCTTCTTACTTTGGACAATAGCAGCCAAGTCAGTGTAACTCTTCAGCACTAATGTTTGGAATTATTCAACGTTCCCATGATCCTCTGTTTCTGTAAAAAAAAGAATTTGTGTGTGTGGGGGGGGTCCTTATAGAGACAATGGAGATGTTATCACTCTCCTTCTTAATCCACTCTGGTTTTGACCATTTTCAATACAGATTCAATGTTTTTTTCTGGTTATTGTAATACAGATTTTATTAACACTATACTCTGTAAATGCCAGTGAGACCTCAGAGGAGTTACAGATGTAATTAGTTGGTATGATGAGGTATGGATTACTGATTAGGTTATTGTTAACAGGGCCCATGGGCCCCTGGTAGGTGGATATGACATATCTATAGTGTGTGGGTATAGCACAAGCACAAGCTGTTGTAAGTCAGGGATGATACTGTGGTTTCTGGACACCAGACGTTCTTGAGAATGGACCCATTTTATAATGTATCAGTGAGAAGATAAGGCTGGTGATAGTTTACATTTTTGTAATTGTCAACAAATCCTATGAAATGACCCAAAACATATTGCTTTATTTCTGGATAGTTTACAAATTTCTCAACCAGTGTGTGGCTTGCAGCTATTAAGTTCACCGATTCCTACTGAAAATCTTTAAAAATTAGTCACAAATACACACTTTTAAAAATATTTTAAGTTTTACAATTTCTTTACAGCCGATTGGGAGGTAGAATTTTCTTTTACATTTGTCACTCAAACAGGAGTAAACTGTATATTTCTTGGGGACTATTTCCAGCAGTGGATTTGATGCTCTATTAAGCATTTAAAGCAGCAGGACGGTGCGGGTGGGATCGACTCAGAATAAACCACATAGCCCATGTTCTTAATAATGAAGAAACATGTTACCCATACACAGTGTGGCTCACTGCTGTGCGTTAAATAATTTTAGGACAGTAAGGGAGCTCTGTGCTAGAGAAAAATCTATTTAATAGGCTCTAGCTACACTTGTTAGCAGAATCAGCTCATTGCTGGCTTTTGCCTTTTCATACAGTTTGTTGGTGATAAGACAAACATAGAACATCACCAGCCGTATCCTCTAATTGTTTAAAATGGCACAAGTTCAAAACCTTGTTTGGCACAAATTCATATTTCCACTTCATTTAAAGCTTTGTATTCTCATCTTGTTTAAAAAAGGAATACAATAAACTGCTGTACTCTCTTTTGGTAATATTTTTTTCTGTTGAATGAGGACTGCTAACTCAACTGCACAGGTCACAGCTGTAGTACAAGTTAAGTACAAACAGTCATGATTGGGTGATACCTGGTGTGACATTATTACAGATACAGTTAATTACTGTACTGTAATATCTAAAGGAGACATGCCGGTGAGGCCTAAAAATGTGTAGAAACTGACAAATACTTGGCTCTTTTTTGTATTACGGTCAATGGATTGTGCTGTATGTTAAAAAATGGTCTTTCTTTTCATTTCTTGCACATATTAAAGGGCTAAAATCACTGTCTGCTGAAAGACTGATGATGTCTCAGAGGACAGAAGTCGTGATTAGAAGGCATCGGCCTCCTGCATTTCACTTTCAGACTCTTGTCCAAATTGAAAGCTCTCACTCAAATCTAAATTATCAGAAGCTCCTATGCAAGAAATCCTACAGCTCTCATCATCTGTGCTACAGTGCAGAACATAGTGGCTTCCCTGTATACATGGCTCTGCTAATATGTTCACTGTATAAAAGACAAATGCAAAAACAGCAAAGTGAAAAATGCAGTCTCGCTATGAGCAGGTTCCTACATCTTCTGATCCCAACTAATGACTGCTTGTGAAATTAACAGAGGAAAACTGAGAATATAGGGAATCTTGATGCCACGTTCAGAACAGCTCTGTTTTGCAACACCAGACTTTTCTTGCAAGCATCTAAAACTCACAGCATCCAGCAGCTTCAAGTAAAAAATCCTCTTCTGTCTCTCTTATTATGTAACTTCCCCCGCTCCTTCATTTCAGAGGGAGACTATGTGCAGAGAACTATGTAAGTGAGGGACATAATTTGCTTTTTGCCTCACTGTGAAGACAGATTTGTTGCTTGGCCTGATGGAACACAGGTGTCTTGCTTGAACAGAAGCACATGTTGTGCTCCATTACACCACAATATTTCATTCGTGTAAATCTTTCAATGCAACAATAGACATGTAAGATGAGACTCTTCACACAATGCAGCATCTTGGCTGGCGATGACTGAAACACTGAATCATAACCATATAACCCAAACTAAAGATATACCCAAAAGGAATCGGTTATTGATGTGATGATCATGTGAACATTTTGGTAAAGGATTTGGTTATTCGGTTGGCTGATTTGTATGATAGATGCCTGTTTTGGACAAATCGTCAAAACTCCAATTTACCCGAGGTCGTCACAAAATGCCAGAGGTGCAAAAATGCAAAAAGTGCTGAAGCAGTTTTTCTTAATGTTTCACAAAGCACCGAACACTTGGGTATTCCCTGCTCCCTGCTAAGGAGCTGAGAGGGATTTAAACTGGTTGCCATCTGCCAGCTGAGTCACAGGGGATTGTATGCAAATTACTGGAGTGGTGAGGAGCCTACACGTTACTGTACTTTGTAAAAATGAAGAAGAATGTAGAAATGAACTTACCAGACCTCTGTAGATGGCTCCTCATCTCTACTTAGAGCTAGAGGCTCAAGGACTCAGTAGCTGTCTACCAGCATAACGCATCTGAATTGTCTGCAGGGGAGCTGCATTGTGGATAAAGCGGCACCAGATTCTGAAAAGGAAGAAGAATGCATGAAATAAAAACATTAAATCTGTTTCAAATGCCTAATTTTCCTACAATATAATAGGACTACAATGCTACATTTCTCATAAAAACCCTGATAGAAAGACAGAACTGTTGTTCTTCGCATTTTGCAAAGTACAGCTTTAGGAACCACGGCACAGGATAAAATTGTCTGTTTCAAGTAATCATTTATGCAACAACACTGGAAATAAAGACTATCCTACCTTCAGCCCAAATAAGTGGGTGTTCAGACTGATTGTGGTAAAACAACTCCCTGCTGTGGTTTTATACCAGGGGCAGTGTTGACTGGGAGGTTAGGGGTTGCAGGGGGAGTTTTGTATGTGCGTACAATACAGCCACATTGCTTCAAGTTGACATAAGTGGCTTCATTCATGTTTTCAACCTGGGAGTTTCTGTTGTGTTTTGGTTAGCCATGCTGCTAACATAGCCTACTCTACATTAACACAAATTTCTAACAGCAGTGTGTCAGCATTGATAGATAAAAACACCTTTTAATCTCCAGTACCCTAATGAAAACACATGGCATGTCATTATGGTGCGTTTGTAAATGTGACCCAAATTCAAGAATGAATAGCAGTGGATGCTTATGCTAACAAGCTAAACAAAAGAGTCTTCTTCCCCTGGGCATCCACATTTCGACCATTCCCCTTACGTGACTGCTCAATGCAGCTCCTTTGCCGGACATCACCATCCAGTGAGGCAAAAGTTGATCCACATCCAACTTTTTTTGCCACATGGGGCGGCCGTTTTGCCAGAGCCCCCTCCAATGCTGATGAACACAATCCCACATTTTCTCCAAGTAAACCATTCTCCAATAGAGCTTTCATGAGGCTAAGGCCGAACAATATCTACACTACCATGGCAACAGCTGTGTATTTCAAACCTTTAATACTACATAGCTCCTGAAGAGCAGTGTTTACTTTATGTCAGATTTATCCAGACACAGTCACAACATTGCCAAGAATTGTGTTTGAAAGGGTGTGTAATATCCTCTCAAGCTACAGAGCAGAATATCTCAGAGAAATGAGCCTCCATATAGTGTCTGTTAATTTCCAATTGCAAGCTATTACTGCACCATGTTTTATGGCTTATATGGTGAAAGAAGAGTGGGATGGATGCTTCTCACTCAAACACAGACAATCTGCTTTTCAAGACAGTAATGATAGGAAATTGCAAATGGATGTTAAGTGTTTGTGTTTTGTGGGTAATATGTTGTGTTTGAAGCTGTAATTTCAGAATCCATCTCATATTCTGTACATCTTTCCACATATGATTTAATAGTGAGCCTTTTTCATCCAAAATTGGTCATTTCTCTGTGTGAGTATGAAGGGACCACAGCTTCCTGCTGTGCAATACTCAACAGGTTCACACTATGATGAAAACAGTCCTGAGTAAAGTCTCTCCAGAACATACAAATCACCACAAAACTCTGGATGTCTTGATTAAGACATATTTGAGAAAAAGAACGCAGCAGGGTGATTCACAGGCAGCCACATCCCAATCAAGGCTGAGCTAACTAATGCAAAATGTGATCTACTGTAAGGTTATAATTTTAATATCATGGTGCTGCTCTTCATGAATGCATCATACCGCCTAGTCACCGGGCTACAGATGTGCAGTGTCACCAAAACCAAAGCTTATCAAAGCCTCATGCACAGCCCCGGTGGAGCCGCCAGCAACTGCATTTAATTTCTCTGCATTATTAGAGTGAAAGTATGGCAGTGCAGGTGCCTGAGTCTCCTCGGTCTCCTCTGTGATTAGTTTAAGGAGAGGAAGATTGTGTTGTGAAATACCCTGTAACAGGAATTAATCACAGGATGCCATCACTGAATTCCTCTATGGAAGGCTCTCTTTGTGCTGTGAATGGATGAGAAGTTTGTAGAGCTTAGATTAGATTTTGAATGTTCCAAAGCTGTTAACAGATGTCACAAGTCCTATTTACCTGTCTCCAAAAGAATTAAGGTTTTTCTTTTTGTGGTTTGAAAGTCCTGAAGGTGAAGAACCAAAAAGGCAACCATGTAACAACTACATGTTCACATTTTAATAAAACATTTAATATGGTCCTGAATTTCATTAAACTGTGCACAAAAAACAAACACAGGAGATGAACGTAAGGTGCACGTCTAAAAGGTCATTTAATTAGCATCATCACTCCCAAGAAATAGCTTGCATAATATGAGTGAATATTTTACTCAGTTTGATATTTTTCAAGAACCGTGTGCTCTGGGAACACTTCTTAAAACCATTTGTAGAAAGCTGCATTTCTTTGATGGCACAGAACCACTTCACATTCAAGAGTTTACACCCAATTTGCAAATGAAATGAGAACAGTTAAGAGCAACCATCAATCTTTTCTTTTTTCCAACTTAAGAGCCCCTATACATTCATTACCAACAAACAATGATCAGTGCCTCCAAATGTATTCCTGACATTTTATCTTTGTCGCAGAACCAACAGGGATACAAAACAAATAAGAGGAGAGGATCACTCTGGTCAATTACCTGCTTATGAAAGAGCCGAGCATTATAAAGCTTTTTACAAGATTCAGAGCTCATACTTCACGTCTCTCGGTCAGATGAAAGCAAGAGGAGCAGCAAGTGCATTTCACTCCAGATAAAACACAGCATGCAGCTTTGCTATTATGCACTGTTACCACTATTTGCATCTTTAAGTGTTTATTTTACACGGCTCTGCATACATATTCATGACTCAACGGAACGTGCTGTTTGCACCCACAATAGACTGACGGTGCCTATATGTTAGAAAGGCTGACTTTTTTAAAATATCATGACATCTCCAGCACTGTAAAACAAGTAAGCATGGTCAAAACAGCTCCTTTTATTCTCTGAAATGAAATTAACTACTTTTTGTTGTAGTTAACGCGTATGAACAAACACCTTCTAGGATTGGCTGAAGCATCAAATCTCATTGGAACACAGTGCATGTTGTTTGAGGGTCACTTTTCTTCTTTTCCAAACATGGTGTTTGCACATTACCAGAATCTCTAGCTACTGCACAGCTTGGCAGGCAAATACAAATTTTAATTATCGTTTTAACTTCTAACTACTTTGCCGATTATTCAGTTGTCTGTGTAAATAAAGTTGAAAGTGACACTTTCAAATTGCTTGTGTCTGACCAGCTATCGAAACCAAAAGACTCTCGGCTTATTAAAGAGAAGCAGCACATCCTCATACATGAGGAGCTCCACCCAGCAAATGTTTGAGTCAGTTTCAAAACAAAAATACCAAATAATTGGGTATCAAAAAGCAGAAGGCTAAAAACTTAAAATGTTTTTTTATTTTCAGATGGGAAACGCAACAAAACGTAGGATACAGTATGAAAATCATTAAAAGGTTTGCACTCACTTCCTTTATATACATGCAATCAGTCCCAATCACAAACATCACATATACCATCCTACAGTCATACTAATGACTTGATGAAAACAATTCAAAGGGAACATCAAAAACTAGATTTAAAAAAATAGTCTCTCATTTGTCATGATCTACGAACATCCAGGAAAATTTTCCCCATCTTAAGAAGAGTTCTCATAAAAGGCTCTGAATCTCTCCTCCTACTTTCACCTCTCACAATCCTTCAGCTCAGCACAGGAAGGCAAAAATAGATGAACCCCTTTACCACATTTCAGCACCATGAACAAGGCCTCACCTTGAAAGAGGTCAAAAGGCCCCCCCATCACTCTCTGCCTGACATGAACATCAGCTCTCCTGCTTGTCTTTGACTAAAAGGACTGTGTGCTGCCCTCCACTGGACACCATCAGTACTGTACGGTTCTCCAGCTGATTTCCAGTCATCCTCATTGGGCTCCACTCATCCTCCTCTTCTCCTGTGCCAAGCTGGAGGTTGGTGCCCATGCCCCAAGCATACACAGACCCTGTAGAAAGCATAACCAACAGTAAAAGGGGTAAGTACTGTGTTTAATCCCCACTTAGCTCACTGAACAGGGACAAATGAACTCGTCACAGCCTGGAAACACAATGCAGTGGAGAGAAACTGGGATATTTGCTGTACATGCAGCTATACTCTGAAGGACTGAGTATAGGACTACAGGAGTGATTTCCTGACAAAATACATTCAAGTGAATGATGACCCTCTAAAAACCAAAGGCAGAACAGGTGTGACTTTGATACACATCTAATGTCTAATCTTTTTGACCATAATGCTGACACTTTCCTTAACCACAGAAATTATCAATAAACACTCAGTGGACTCATAGGTTGCTCTAGAAGGCAGTGATTGACTACTGACTTTATTGGTTAGGTAGGAGGACTTGTTGCAGTCCACTGCTTTAAAGGCAGTAGCATATACCACTCTTATGAAAAATTGGTCACTCCATCTTTGGCTGCATTTGCTTTGTTTGTCACCTTGTCTGGTGACAGCGTAGCTGACAGACGCCCCACATGCCACTCGACTGGCTGGCTCCATCCCCGTTACATGTTTGGGCTCACTCGTCTCTTCAGCACCTTGGCCCAGACCAAGGCGACCATAATCCGCTCGGCCCAAGCTGTATACCTGCCCTAAAAGATGAGGAAGAAAGAGACTCATTTGGTGTTTGCCTAGTCAGCACAGGTTAGAAACAACTACCTGGCTCCTTGGTGTCACTTTCTTGTCAGTGGTTTCCAGCGAAATGAACAAAATACATACTGACCACTGCAATCTCAGGAAAAGCCTAAACTGTATCAGTTTGTTTTTCATGCTAGAGGAAACAAAACACTGGACCAATGTTACAGTAACATTAGAAATGCTTTCTCAGCTGAACCTAAGCCTCATTTTGGTAGATCTGACCACCTAGCAATCCGGCTCAAACCTGCTTACACCAAACGACTCAAGGTGAAACCAGTCTCAGTGAGAACTGTTAACATCTGGAATGACTGTGCACAGGACAACCTGCAGAGCTGTCTAGAGGCCACAGACTGGAACATCTTCAAAGGGGCCACAGACGACATCCATGAATATGCAGAGACTGTGAGTGACTACATCAGCTGGTGCACATCCATATGCGCACCAGCTAGAACGGTGCGTGTTTTCCCCAACCAAAAACCATGGTTTAATAGGGATATAAAACAGGAAATCAGGAAGAGACGAGAGGAGGTGACCAAGTGAAGTACAGGAAAGCCCGGTACGAGCTACAGAAGTCCATCAGAGCTGCAAAGAGGGCATACTTCCAAAAACTGGAGAGCTACTGTATGAATAACAACATGTGTCACGCAGTATGTGGCAGAGAATCCAGGCAGTCACAAACTACAGGAACAAATCAACAAATACAACCCCCCAGGACGCCACCCTCCCGGACAGCCTCAACAACTTCTATGCAAGGTTTGACAGTTTGAACACAGACACCCCCTCAAAATCCCCCTGCATCCTGAGGGACACTGCTTTTCAGGTGGCACACATACAGGTCCTGAAGGCCCTGAGACAGGTAAACCCCCATAAGGCGGCGGGACCAGACGGTGTCCCCCCTAGAGTGTTGAGAGCCTGTGGGGATCAACTAGCTAGTGTGTATACAGACATCTTCAACCTGTCTGTTCTTCGGATTTTCAACAACCATGCTAACTCTGAGAGACAAAGCAGTCCAAGTAACTTCAAAACAGTGCTGATTTATTCAATG